ATATAAACTGTATGCCAAAGTCGGTACTTTACCAATTATTAGTGGAAACCCTTTTATAATAAATTCCCGTTTTTTAAAGTTTTTTGTTGTTTTCATTTATAATTTCCATTTGAAAAAAAGAAAAAACAGTACCGACTTTTTAACCCTCAAAACCAATACAGTTATAAATTTCAATTAAAATTTCGGGATTTTAACAAAAAATTAGAACAAACTTGTCCGATTTTCTGAGACTGTTATTCAGTCTTTTTCACTGTTGAGATTCTCAAAAAATCGGCATTTTTGCCTTTTGGTAATGGACGAGTAGTTTGAATGGGTGAGATAACCGTATTTTACCTCTCACATTACGACTCTCCCCCACTTCAAAATACACAATAAATCGTTCTAACTTGTTGTTATTTTATGGTTGTCTCTTTAAAAAAAACAAACTTTGAAACACTACACATATTAAATGGTTATTTTTATTTTCAATAATCTTTTCTTTGTGTTGTAAGTGTTAATGAAATTGAAAGATTTTTATTATTTGTTGGATCATTAACATTTAGTTTTGAAAAGAGAAAAAGTCGGTTTTACTCACGGCAAAAACAACCATATGGTCAAGCAAAATTTTTGAAGAAGTAAGTTATTTGATATTTTCCTTGTTATTTTTTATTTAATTTTTTAGCTTGGTCTAAATTCAAGGTTCAGTCAAGTTTGTTTTTTAAAAAATAAGAGGGAAAAAAATAAGCAAAAAAACGATGTCAAACAAAATGAAAAATATTTGGAATCATTTACTTCAAAAAGTCGGGTCCTTTCGGTACCGACTTTTGAAAAACAGTTTATAATCATATAAATATAATTTAAAAAATGATTTGAGAAGATATAATTGGGACGGTATTTTTTCATTTTATTTTTTAATAATAATTATATTAGATTTATATGGTTTATTTTTTGAATATCTTTTACATAATAAATGGTATTTTGAATAGTTATTTAACTAAATATTTAGGTCAGCGACTTTTAAGACCACTGAAAAGTCGGCGATTTTCAAAGGGACTATAAAGTCGCCGAACAGCTATTAGAATATGTTTTTTGTAGTCTAATAAGTCAAATGAAGATATTAGACTTTTCCAAAATTAATCCAAATTATTGAATTAAAACACATGTGATTGTAATAATTATAAAAATTAATAAGAAACTTAAGGCGATCACAGTGAATTTGATAATCATCATGAAGTGTGAAAATCACTATGAAAATAAATAATCACAGTGAATTTTGAACTCTATTTATATGGTGATGATTTTAAAAATATAACAAAGAAAAAAATTAATTTTACTATACACGATGATGATTTTTAATAATAACTATATTTTTTACTAATTAAGAAACAAACATATTTTTATTTATTAAATTAATTATATATAGTATATATAATCAAAATATATTTATTATTTTGCAATCGAAAGATTATTTCTTATTTTAAAAAAATAAAGAAATAAAAATAATTATTTTTACAAATATATATAAAAACCGCAATTGAGTTGTGTGAAGGGGGAATTTGTATTTATTGATGGAAAAGCGTTTCCGTTGATCTTGCGGAGACTTTGGATACATCTCCGTAGCTAGTTAGTTACAATTAACACAACAATGAAAGTCCTCCGCTATTTTTTATTAAAACTTTTTTGTTAAAAAAAACGTGAAAAAATTTGAAATAGTATATTCAATCGTAAATAATCTATAATACAAAATCATCATCTATAAATAAAATGTGCATTTTTCATCATCTAAATATAGAACAATTAACATAAAAAAAGAAAAAAAAACACATTGTGCTAATAATTTGTATTATTATATATAATATCGTAATAGTACACCATTCATAATCATTTATTATATCATTTAAATTATTGATTATAACGTGTTTTTCACATTTATCGATTGTAACACCAACAATAAAAAAACGAATAGTCAATAACAATGTTTGATTGTTATCACAATTTGTTGTTTTTGCTATTCATCATAAATTGATTGTTAAAATATTTGATGTAACTGAATTATTATTGTTCGACATTTTATTATAAAATATCATATAAACAAGTGACAGAGCTTGAAACAATGATATAACATCAATACATTAACGGTTTTAACATTTTTTAATGTGAATTATTATTGAATAATAGTAAAAATATTTATTGATATTTTAAACTAAATTTGAACAAGAATTTGTGTTGTTCAAATTAAATATCAGTTTATTAATTGTAAAAATTGATATTTATTTACAAATCCTTGAATTAACAATCATTTTATCAAAAATTACAATATACAAAAATAATACATATATTCCAATTATGAATAAACATTCAAAATAAGTTTTATATACTTTTAAATGAAACCGAATTAAATCGATATGAAAAATCACTTTAATGTTAGTATTGTAATATAACAAGCTTAAATATTCATTTTCTTGATTGAAATAACACGAGAATGATATAAACATAAATTACAAGCAATATAAATTTGATTAAAAATTTAAATTTATCTTATTTTTTGTTATTAATGTTTACGAACAAATACAAAAAACTTTCAATGAATTTGTGAATTATCAGAATTGTTTATTAAAAAAACAAACATAACCTATCTTTAACATTATAGTTTGAAATACAAATACAACACCTTTGAAAACTGTTTTAATATTGTTTTAATTTTGAACAAATACATGTATGTATTGTGTATTAAAAAAAATAATGTCAATTAAACACAATAAACATACTATCAAAAAATAACAAATTTATCAATAATTGGGTACTTTTGACAATTCATATTAAAGTATGTTTATCTGTAAACAATTGATTATTTAACAAATAAATTTAAATATGGTTAAGTGTTAACTGTATCACGCGTGTCAAGTTTCTTCAAAATAAGTTTACGTTTATTGATCAAATTACAAATGTTGTAATAATTTAAATGATATAATAAACTATTATGAATGGTGTACTATTACGATATTATATATAATAATACAAATTATTAGCACAATGTGTTTTTTTTTCTTTTTTTATGTTAATTGTTCTATATTTAGATGATGAAAAATGCACATTTTATTTATAGATGATGATTTTGTATTATAGATTATTTACGATTGAATATACTATTTCAAATTTTTTCACGTTTTTTTTAACAAAAAAGTTTTAATAAAAAATAGCGGAGGACTTTCATTGTTGTGTTAATTGTAACTAACTAGCTACGGAGATGTATCCAAAGTCTCCGCAAGATCAACGGAAACGCTTTTCCATCAATAAATACAAATTCCCCCTTCACACAACTCAATTGCGGTTTTTATATTTATTTGTAAAAATAATTATTTGAACTATATAATTTAGTAAATATATTAAACTTTTTATTAAAAAAATAACAATAATTATTTTTTTAACAGAAAACGTTAAGAAACTGATTCAAAATATAAAATATTATTTTGCAATTATTTTGTTTTTTATATTTGGAGCAAAGTATGTTGTATTTTTATAAGGTTAAAAATTATTTTCTAAATTTTTCATTTTTAATAATAATCGTTCTATATTTATTTCCTGAGTAAAAAAGCCAAAATAATCAACATAAATAGATTCACCGTGATCGCCTTTAGATTAAACCAAAAAAATGGAATTTTATAGAAATATTAATTGAACGAAACGAAGCTCAGTTTGATGAACTAAATATTTAATTATTGAATGATCGTTCTATTCTTCTGCACTTTCGCATTATCACAATACACATGCACAACCGCAGAAACACTTGATTTCCCAACAGCATCGGTCGACATTGCTTTTGGAACATCAACGCCAGAGTCAATTATTGACACAGATTATGTCAAAAAAACAGTGAAAGGTAAGTATTTTAAAATCACTACTGACGTTTCAAAAGCGATATTTCTCAGGGTCTCAACATGTAAAGCGACAACAACAATCCCCACTGAAATTTATATATTTCAACAGTGTGCAAACGACATAGCATCAAAGAAAATCGCAGTCTCTGGTATCGATGATGTCTGTGCGTCTCACAAAGACTTTCCAATTCTCAACACATATCTTCAGCCAGCTCAAACACTATACATCTTCGTCAAATTAGAAGAAAACAATGAGGTTGGCACTGTTTCAATGTTTACTCAAGAAAGTTTGTTATAATATATTATACTAATATAAAAAAATAAACTAATAATATAGTTAATACCGACAATAGTAATAGAGAGTGTGACACCGCTCGAATAGTCTCTGCACTACCATACACAGACGACGCCGTGTTGTTTTCAACTGGAATACAAGACGAAATACAACCGGTCTGCTTTGTTCAAAGGACATTTTCTCGGTGGTACAAAATCACTGGAGATGGTAAGGCAGTTGTAGCACACACGTGTAATTACTACACCAACTTTGATTCTCGACTCTCTGTTGTGGAAGACGTCAAATTAATAAATGGGAAGTGTAATGATGCAGATTGTAAGGTCTTTGCAGACGATGGATGTGGGACCGAAAAGAAGTCAACTATCATAGCTTTTAACACAGTAGCCAATAAAGTGTATTATATTGGCGTGTCTAGTGTACTAAAGGCTGAAGGACAGTTCCAAATAACTATTGAACACTTGGATACATCTATTCCAGCTGTATGTACTGCTGCATTACCAATAAAGAACATCCCATTTTCAAAGTCGGTGACCCTTGGGGTTAATTGGCCAACAACTAAATCTGTTTGTTTAGGGCCGGGTGCTGATGTCAGAGGTGTATACCTCACATTCACTGCTTCACATGAAAGTGAATATGTTTTCTCATCATGCAAATCGCTAGATAAAGACATGGAGACCATTGGGGTTGGTGTTGAGTTTATATCAAATTGTGATAAAGAAGAGTGTGCGATGGACAATGTGACATATGGAGAATGTGGTGATAACAATTATCTTGTTAAAAGTATGAAGAAAGGGGAGACAGTGACATTACTCACATTTTGTCAAGACTCTACATGTACATTATCTCTTAATGTATATGACAAAGGTGTGTCGCACAGCACATGTGAGAATGCGTTGACATTGTCTGTGTCATCAACATTCAATGATTTTGCTGTAATGAATACCACACAACTTTCGTATCATGGGTGTGACTCTGTAATTAAGTATGATAAAGGGTTATGGTATCGGCTCATTCACGTTACCGAGGGACAATCCGAGGCATTTACTATCTATGCAACAGACTACTATCATTACGCAGTTGGATACATCGAATTATCAAGAGGGTGTATGCAAATTCAATGTGATGGCGTTTTCCAAGGAGCGTCTACTTTCTTACTGACTTTTGATAAAAAGGAGCAATATATCTTTGTATATGGAGATGGAGAACAACAAGTGCTTCAAATTTCGATAATCAAAAAGGAAGAAGACGCATATCATAAATGTAGTAGTCCTTTACAAGTGATGTTACCTTACACTGCAGTACATACATTCGACTTAACCGCTTCTCATTTGATCTGTACAAACACAAATGCACTCTCGTCATTCTATAAATTTGACTTAGCGGATGATGCACATGTTTTGTTGTCTACATGTTATGCTAATACATTAATAGATACTGCTATGGAATTAACTAAAGGTTGCTTTGAAACTCCAGACACGAGTGAATGTCTTTATTCTTGTAAAGCCGGATTGTTATGTCAAAACAATGACGCTGAGATGGACGTCGACTTACAAGCAGATAAAGACTACATCTTAAATGTATACAGCGAGAGCCCATTGTCCACAATTTCTCAACAGTACCGTATCACTATCATCTCGGATACCCCAGCGCCAGAGTCGCGATGTGACCAACCAATCAGAATTAATGAAACACAACCACATGTGACATTACAAATATATAATCAATACAGTCATGACTCTAATTTTGGTACTTATGGCAACTTACGTGGAAATTACTATTCCATTCAAACAAGTGTGGCTAAAGACGTAGAGGTGAAGACGTGTTCATCAAGCACAACAACAAATTCCGTCATTATCAAAATGTTGAATTGTAGTGTTACTTCAGATGGAGTAAAGTACACCAGTTTCCCTGATAACATCATTGACGTTCAAAAGAGCTCTATAAAGAAGTGTGACAAATTTGGAACGTATATGTTATTCACAACAGAGCCTAATGAACCATTGCTAATATTCGTTGGTGGTGAAAACTTCATAGAGAATGGCTTTATTAATGTCGATATCACTCTAAGTGATTTAGAACAATCGATATCGTCGCATCAAAGTGGAGACGATGATGATGGTCTTAATGGCGGTCAAATATTTGGTATTGTCGTAGGCGTACTTATTGGTGTAGCCCTTGTAGTAGCATTTGTTGTGATTTTAGTCTTCGTCGTCGTTTACTTCGTAAGAAGAAACAAGAACTACGGGACAATCGAGTAATTCACAACTTGACTCATACTAACTATGTCTTTCTGTGTTTCATCAAGTTGTGATACTTTTATTATAAATATAGTATAACCAAACTAGAATACTACTGTTAATAAGCTTATTAGAAATAACTATAAATAACTCTTGAGCACAGAAACCATTATTTAACATAATAAACTATTAAAAGAACTATTAAAAAGCAGTCAATGGAAATCAAAGAGAATGGAGACAAGCTTGTGAAAGATGGGCTCTGTATTGGAAGTTTGTTATTGCCTCACACAGCAAAGTATGTCTAATATTAAGAGATCACACCTGCAATGCAAAGGAGTTTAATACCTCCACCTTCTGTTGAATGCTTACTTAACAGACAAAAAAGACAACAAGAAAAAGACCAACAAACAAAGGAATACATCCAACGAGTCGTTGATGAAAATGTTGAAGAGAAACTAAAATCAAAAAATTACTATTCAACAGAAATCGAAAAATTTAAGGTTTGTATGAAACATTCCGAACATTCAAATATTAAATTATAGAGAATACAAGAAAACAAAAAACCTCAACCTCCAAAGTCCGTCCCTGACAAGCTACGAACGGAGAAAAAGCCTCGAAAAAACAAATCGTTTCTTTAACTATATTTATTAACAAAAATACTATTGATTTGTATATTCTCTTTATATAAAATAATTAATTATAATTAATCTATAATACAAACCACACTGTGTACAACTATACTCAATAGTAATATTTACTATAATAAATAACATCGTTCATTCCACCCAACACAGTGTAAATCTTATACCTTGCCTACTCACGGTATACGTCGCACACAGCTTGTCTTTTCTTTCGTCGTCTTTGATAATCCACCCATACTCATTTGGTCTTTGCTGTAATGTGAAGTCAAGAGCAAAGAATAAAGGAAGGCCCCTCTCAACATTCACACTATTTTGGAAGACAGCCACATCCCTGTGTCTGAGAAGACCATCTGCAAATACCCCAATATCATATTGAGGTATTCGCAACTCCAAATCGTGGAAAGCAAAGTACTCTCTCTCAAACTCTTTGAAACCGTCCAACACAGAGAACAATTTTTTACTTGAAGGTGTTTCTTTGTCTGCCAAAGACACAAGTAAGTCACATGGTTGGACCTCAGACTTTTGGTTCTGCAAAATGGAAGTCACACAACCTTCAACTCGACGAGAAAAATAATTCTCGCACCATAGTGTTGGGTTGAAGAGTTCATTTTTTCGTGTTAGTAGAAGTGGAGTAGTTTGTGTCACCGTGTATATAAGGTCGAGGAAATACTGTTCGACCGAGACATTTTCCAATAGAACCAAACACTTTTCCAACTCTTTATCGATGTCGCAGTAAGACTTATTTAAAGTCGTTTTGTGCAATTGGTCGATGTATTGATATGTTATCTCCATCTGTTCACATGGAAAAACAATCCGCTGGTAAAAAGGAAACGGGTGTATTGCGTTGTATTGAGTTATTTTAATATTATACCACTCAATGAAGTCTTCATAACTCGTGTTAGTGTTGCTTTTAATATTAAAATAGAACACAACGTCTTTAGTAAAAGTGTAGGCGTAGTCGTATGACTCTTTCCCATCAGAAACACCGACTTCTGGGAGATCAGTAAATTGAAAGTTCTTCTTGACACGAAGTAAGTAATTGATAGTGCAAAGAAGTTTGTAGATGTATGGATGGTCTTTGTTTGGTAAAGAACCACATCTCAGAATATGATTACCGGCAACAAGTTCTCTGACAAATGATACAAATGTCCGATAACAGTTTCGATGCTTGAAAAGGGTGTCTTGTCGACGAATTACATATTGACAGTACAATGAAAACAACGAATTTGGAAGAACCATGTCATCCACTTCGATGCTCTTCATATTACACTCCTCTCGCATAAAATCAACTAAACTGAATTTGGTGTGAAACCGATGATGCAGCATCATCGTTTGAATGTGAAGACTCTCCGCCTCTTCTAACATACTCCGCATATTTAAAAGTCTTGAATAATAAAAGAGTACTTTCACACCAAAACACTTCGCAGTGACTTCCCAACGAGCTTCTTGTGTCCACAAATAGTTGTGGAGATCATCGACTCGCGTTTGAAGATACACAAAGTCAAAATACGGCGTTCCATCATTGTAAGTCGTTTGTGTCATTTTGATTTGGGGGTGTCCTATATAGTACCGATGGTATGTCGTATACTGACAATATTCAAAATCTGCAAACAATAAATTGGCAATGGCACTTTCGTTCAGTAATTCGTGCTTGCGCGGCACAACATCGGACGAATACTTTTTGTTATTTGGTCCGACCCCAATCATCTTTGTACCATACTCGACAAATATAATATCAAGTGGATGTGCCTGTTTACACGCCGAAAGGACTAGTCTACCAACATCATCAGATGGATTTCCTCTCACGTGCACCAAGTAGTACCCCGCAACCCCCAAACTTTCGTTGTAGTCGTTCTCAAATGAAAATGATATCTCGCAACGAAGCTGCCGATCTTGAAAAATTATTTCATTCTTCTGTTTTTCAAAGTCGTTTCTGAGTCGTTCGTATGGCGTCCGCAATGAATTGTCTATAAAATCCCGTCCGACTCCCTCCATCTCGCTGGCTTCTCTCTTTTTTAGTTGTTTTATTAATTATTGCATACTATTCTGTAAATTATTTAAATATAATATCAATACTATTAAATATTAACTTACATATACACTCACTTCATGTTGCCAATATCTCTGAAGTATCCCTTGAAAAGGTCTCTCGCGTAGTCTTGCATGAACCTCGGCTTCTTTCTGTGAATGATGAAATTGTCGAAACAGTCTGGATGATGGATGTGGACTTTCTGTCCTGTTAGTCTGTAGTATTTATATATTAAAAACCCTAATGCGGTGTCGTCCAAAGAGGAAGGTGGTTGGTGGTGATAGTTATACTCATTTCCAATGAAATGTGCGATATCACTTGAGTAGAGTTCGATCACCCCACTTACAAAGGGGTAATACAGTGAATGAAAAGCCAATTTGTCGAAGTATCGATCTGATGGATCTTTATGAGGAGGGTGTCTAAGGACTTTTCCAAAGACGACATTCTGTGGGATTAATGGAGTTAAATAGTTAGCAAGGACTTCGATATTAATATAGTCTTCGTCGTCTATAACAGCATAGAATTTATAGTCTGGATATCGAGTAACACCATCTTCAAACATTTTAATGTTTTTGTGATAGATAGTATCCCACCCTTCTTTGAAGCCAGGTAGATGTATAAAACTTATGTCTCCATACGTCTCATTCATGCGAAGTAAACTCTCCCGTTTCCTTTCTTCTTCTACAGTCTCCTCTACAAAGTAAAAGAGACACTTCATGTGATACACCCGTTGTAACTCAACATCACACCACGTCCGTCGAATACCTTCAATATAACTGAGTCGATCAATCGACACACGAACCATTAGCAACGACAATTTCGGGGGATACATTGTCTTCACCGGGAGAATCTGGCGGACTCTAATGACATCACTTGCTTGTTCATCGTAGTCTAGTGGGTAGTCAACTTCACGCATTTCATACCCACTAACTATCTGTGAACTAATAAGAAATAATACTATTATTAAATACTTCATAACGAAGTAGTCTGTGTCTATGAATCAATTGAGTTGCTTTTATAGCACGCGGTTGAGTTTCGTTTTGCTTTTGCATCGACTTTTCTCCATCCCTTTGTATATTCTATACATCAAACTTAATTATAATATAATTCATAATTATATAATAGTATAAGTATCATTATATTATACTCTTATAGTTATAATTCTATATCTCTACTATTTCCAGCAGGACACGTCACAACAATAATACAATTACTTTTTCGCTGCGTTCCCATCGATCTCGAGGAGCTTTCGCAATTTGAAGCTCTCGAAGATTTGAGTTTTGACAAATTTCTTCATAAAAGCCAAGTCATCGCCGGACCAAAAGGCAAGATAGCTATCAGCCAAAAAGGTTGAGATGTTATCCTTCCCTGTTTCTTCATATACATTCTTCAAACAGAAATAAGGGAAAGGTTCGACGATGTTATTCATTGCTTTGTTAATTGCGTGGACTATATCATTTGTCGCGTCCATTTCTCGTGCTATTAAAGTTGTCATTGGGATTTTTTGTTTAGCGTTTCTCTTCGGTGCGCGCTTTAATATATCTTGAATGCGTTCTATGACCCATCCGGCAGCATCGGGGAATAAACACTTTTCGTCGCAAATGAATTTGTTGTTATCGAAGTCTGCGATGAAGGTGTATTGCTTCTCGAGTGGTGTTTTTGGCGGAATTTGTGTGAGGCCGATTAAGACTGGAGTTGGTGACTCAAGGACTGTATACAACTCTTCACACAACTCGGAGATGACAGGACTTTCATATTTGAATGGAAAAATGACGGACAAGAGAAAAAAGATGGCAGACGACTTGATGTATTGGTCTTGGCTGATTATTAATATCTTATATTCCAACAGAAAGCAGCTCAGTAATCTCAAGATGTCAAATGCGTTGAATTTTGTGAATAACGTCAAGAGGAAAATCTCGCCAAAATGAGCATAGATATGGTCCGCGTCTAGATCGTAAATCGTTTCGGTTACTTCACGTGGAAAGACAAATCTCAGGGGAGATTTTGAGTAGAAAAGTGAAGAGTATGATATTTAAGGAGGTAATCTACCATCTCAGATACTGAAGGAGAGTATAAAGACGGTTCTAACTCCGAGAGTATCGACGCAGGAGTTAAAACAAACGAGTTCAACTCCGGTTGAAGCAATAACGCTTCCAAAAAGTGAATATGAGAGACAAAGTATGGCACTTGTGTAAGTAAGACGTAACACACTTCGTCGGTTTCATACTCTTTTGAGTTGACCAATATGAATCGTCTCTTTCTAAGCCCGACGGCAAACATCTCTCCATCTTTTCCGTTGAATACAAACGAAAACACATTTTTGTAATCCATATGATCGCTGATTGTCTTTTGCCCTTCTTCCGCAACACTTCTCTCCTTCTGTTTAATGAATTTCATTCGATTCACACCATTTGGGAAACAGAATTCTTGGAGGAGGTGATAAGAAAACCCTTCGATCCTATAACTCAGAGACTTACGTTGAAATAGAACAAATGTTGTTGTAATTTAATTTAATTTGAGAGTTAAAAAACAAACTGAGTGGTTGGGTATTGAAAGAGGATGGTACTTTTTGTTTTGGCAAACCTCTTTTTATATCCACACTGCTGGTAAATACCCACCTCAGCAGCATCCGATCCGACAATCACAAATTGATCAAAATATGGTTTCGTTGCGTCAAACACTGGTGAGAAAAGTCTCAATGACTTCACAATGTCTCTATTCGTCCGTTCGTCCTCAAAGTACTTCTCAAGGTTTTTCACACTCACGTTTGACATAACACGTGTTTTCCCAGTTGGCGACCATTTTTTTGTTATTTGGCTGAATTTCGTTTCGAAAAGAAAATCATTTAATAATTCATTTTACCATTCGTTTTTAACACAAGTTATGATACCCCAATCGCCCGATTGCAACTGATATTTCCTCGCGTTTTCAAGTTGAATCAAGATAAAGAGGTCTTTTCCAAAGAATCCAAGAAATTCAATTTGTCGTTTTTTTAAAATGTATAACGGCAGTTTCTACACCCCATCACCATTCGAAATGCTTGAGGTGAGGAAAAGTGTCTCATCCACTTTTTTGTGACAAAATCAACTTCAAATAGAACTTCAAAATTGGTTATATTATTATACCGGTATAATAAGAATATTTCTTTATATATATTATTAATAGCTATTATGAAAAGAATAAATGAATAAAAACAAAAGAGTGAATTTAGACAACTTGGGACTGTGCTGGTTTCTTCTTTCCTTTTGTGTTTACAGCTGTTGGGACATTAGGGAAAACACCACCGTTGATGATCGTAACATCCTTAAGTAAGTCGTTCAACTCAAGATCGGAACGAACGGCCAATTGAATATGTCGTGGGGTGATTCGAGTCTTTCCAAAGTCTTTAGCTTGTCCGCCCGCAAGTTCCAAAACTTCTGCAACAAGATATTCAATGACAGCAGTCAAATAGACAGACGCCATTTTGTTGATATGTTCTCCATATCGGCCTTTCTTCAATGCCGCATGAATTCTAGCAACGGGAAATTGAAGGCCGGCTTTCTTCGAAAGGGTATTCTTCTTCCCTTCCTCGTCGACCTTCTTAGTTTTCTTCTCCGTCGACTTTCGTGGCTTTTTCTCGACTTTTTCTTTCTTGGCCTTCTTGACCTCCTCCGCAGCTTTCTTGTCGGTGGCTTTGACTTCTTTCACTTCTTCCTTAACAATCTCCTTGTCTGCCATACGTCGAACTTTTGACCTTTCAAGTTCTCTATTGACTTTAAGTCTCCGTGTTTTTCTCTTTTTAGCTTGGCTTAACCCTAAATAGCGTCGTTCAAGTTTACAGATGAGCGTGTTGTGCTAGAACGCCGGTTTTACCTGAAAATTCAGATTCGCCCCGTCCGTTTTGTAGTTTATCCGTCCATTATTAACTCATATGGTAAATCTTATCATTTCACGTTGAGAATAAAGAATAACCCTTGAATTTATGTACATTTTCTATAAATACATTTCGGCATTGAGAACTATCTTTTCCCAGTTGATAGTTTTTGTATGGCAGTTTTTTACCCCGAAATAAGAAATTGTTGACAAAATTGTTTTTCAATAATTACAAAATGTAAAATACTATAATACTATATTCAAAACTATTAAAAAAGTCACAAATCAGAAATTTTTTTTTGTTTCATTATTATATTTATTATTATATAGTATAATATATGAGATAGTTATTAAATTGTATAATAGTACTTAATATTATTTTATCGCAAGATACTGGTTTATATTGAAGTTGTTGTACTTCTTCATCACATCCCTTTCGATAAAAGAGACGCCGAGCCCTCTGCTGAATATTTCGATAACAACGGTTACATCAGGGTCTTTTAAGTTCACCTTCCACTTTTTAGGCATCATGTCAGCCACCACTTTAATCACTTCTGTTCTTTCGAAAGTTGAGTTGATTCGACAGGAATAGCTGATCCCAAATGTGTTGTATTTGTTTTCAATTTCTTTGTCCTTGTCCAATAGATACTGCACTGCTCCGGTTAACTTTTCCATGGAAGACGCCATCACCACGCGTTGTAATGGAACAATCCGTTGAGTCTCTTTCACAACAACACCATCCTTTTTAGCCCCTTCAAAGAGTAAAGAAACTGCATGGACAGCCTCGCAGGGTACTTCTGTGAACAGTAAACAGTCCACTCCAGTTGCCATTATAATAGTCTTGCACTTAATCTCAGCGATTTCCTTTTTAAGCTCCTCGTCTATGTTGGTTGGTGTTGTTGTTTCCACTTTCTTGTCTGTTTGTTCCTCGTCGGTAAGATACCGTGTGATCAAATCGTTTACTTCTTTCTTCGAACCACGGTCTCTCTTCAAAGAATGACTAATGAGAAGCCCACTCTTGTCGTTGTAGTGCTGTTGCATCTCATTAATCTCCTTCATCTCGAAGTATCTCTTCTTAACGCGTTTCCCTTTATTTTCTGCCATTCCGCACAGAGTGAAGATTGATAGATTGGTAATGAAGTCATTTTTGATTCTTTACTATTTCAATAACATTTTAACTATTAATTTGTTATTAAATACCACAAAAAAAGAACTGTCAAATAACCACATCACTTGTCGGAATGGACATAAAGAAGGAACAACACTTTCAGAAAGAACTCGTTGATTGCGAAACCGAACTTGCGGACATTCAGAAAATGCTCAACAGCCATCAAACCGATTTGGACGGTATGCGAAAGCCCGCTGACGCTCCCAGGCCTGGCGGTCGTGCCTTACGTCCTCTTCTCACAATTGGTGTGAAGCGTCCGCTTTCACAAAGCCAAATATAGACACTTTAACATATTTCTTGTTTATAGTTTTATTTAGTATTTCAAAACCATAATTTCAAACTAAATAGAATAATAATTTAAATAATAAAAAACAATAAAAAAACCAAAGAAAATGAATTATTGGGCTTGTTCAGTTGGGATCTTCATGACCAACTTCTTTCCAGTGATGTTGGTGTACATATCCAAGCAGTCCTCTACTGTTGTCTCGAAGTGAGAAGTAGCGTCGTATGAACGAGTGATGAACACACCGTCCTTTTTCGGGTCATTGATTGGTTCAAAAGAGTCTGAGACGTCGATGAATTTCTGTTCGATTGGTTGTAACAAGTTCAAGCCGACCTCGACTTCCTTTTCTGGGTTAGCAGTCTCAACAGTAGTTCCGACAATAGCAATCCATTTTCCTTTCGGGCAGACTTGGTTGTTTCCAGACAAGACTGAGATATAGATATCAGACTTTCTTCCAACTTGCGCTTGTGGCATAATGATTTGGCATGACTCCGCATTGTCTGTGTTGTTAACTGGATGGTTCAAGATACAAATAGCTCTCACCACTTGGCCAACCTTTTTAACTTTGTCTGGGAAGTATGATGGGTCAGCAATAACGTTCGAGCACTTCGCAGTCTCGCCACTCGCAAACTTGACGCCAGTGACATGTCCGTTTGTATCAAAAACAATTTCTTGTATCTTAGCTCTGAGCATGTATGTTCCTCCGTACAACGCCGACATTCTCGCAAATGCTTGTGGCAACTCTCCAAGTCCATATTCAGGATAGATGTATGGAGACTTTTGGAATCTCGAAAGTGACTCAAAGTACAACACAATCTTCTTCACACATTCAATTGCTGGCTTCTCGAGGTATGAGTCTTCCCTGTACAACGCAACAGCATGTCCAACAAACTCGACAGTAGCTGTGTCGAGTTTGAATTCCTTGAACAATTGTGCCATAGTCATCGTCTTCAAATTTCTTCCCTTATGAGTCTCAGGCTTATTCTCGTCGTAGTTTTGCAAGTATTCCAAGAAGCCTTTGAATCTTCCCTTCTCGAAAAATCCAAGCAATGGAGTCGAGACGGTTTCAGCAACAGTCGCTGGGATCTTGTATACCTTTCCTTTAGTGTAGACATATGATCCATGAATAGCTCTGAATTGGAGGTAGTGATGAACGTTGCAGTGAAGAAGTAAGTTGACCATTTCACCAGATGACATAATGAACTTAGGGATGACATCAACGTTGTAGTCTCTTGGTCTTCCAAGAGACGCGGGGGGTTCGGTCTTATTGGCAAAGTCGTCGAAAAGTTGTTTAAGGTTCAACGAAGCTGAAGCGCCACCGTAGTAGTCATTTCTATCCAAGTGGAAGACTTTCTTTCCGTCAACTGAAAGCAGTCCGGACAAGATGCACTCTTTGAGTCCGGTAGCAAGCACGATAGTATCATAGGTATCATCCATTCTTGTGAGGTTTCTGGTTTTTTAAGTTCATTCTTATGTTTTTTGCTTGGCAATTTCAAGATTAAAAAATGAGAAACTTCGGTGAATCTTGTCATTCTTAGAGGCGATCTCACATATATATTTTTAAAAGTTCTTTTTGAGTTGTGAGGTTTCTCATGGTGGGATTCTGGGATTTGGTCGAAGGAAAGATTTTTTTTCTTGAATTGTTGTTTATTTTTGGTAATGGGTGGTGATATATGCCGTTCTTTCCACATCTGAGAAAAAAATCCTCATCAAATTGAATAACTAAAGCTTTTAATAAAGAAACCAAACAAACCCAATAAAAGAAAAAAATAAAATGTTTTTGTTTTTTTATAATTCCTGAAGAAAAAACGAAATTTTTAGATTTTTTTGATGCAAGAAGTTCGTGTCTCTTCACTTTTGGACACTTCAGTGAATTACGAAACACTTTCGGCTTCAAAAAACGGACAGAACATCTCATATTTAGATCAAGGGACACTCCACATCATATCGACAAAATCAAAGGACGAATTTACAATTCCTCAAGTCTCTCAATCTCAATTTGTCAAGATGCTTGACGCCGAAAATTTGATCTACACAACTGGGAAATCAGTGTATTTTGTCGACCTTCTCAATAAGCAGAAGACACTGTTATTTGCAAATGACGAGTGTTCCGCCATTTATTTGCACGCTTTTAAAGATGGATTTATCATTGTGTCTGTGTCGAACAACACGACTGACTTTGCTTATTACACATCACAATTCAAATCCGTTCAAATACAAAATTTGAAATCTTCCGTTGTGTCGTTTTCGTCCAATTTGAATGACGTGTTACTTCTTCTGAACAATAAAACAGTTGTGGTTATTAGACATTCAATTCCAAGAGTGAAACGTATTAAGTTGCCGGAGACACTTCCAAATAAAGTGTGGAAATCAGTTGCGATGAATTGCGAATACACCGTCGTGGCAATTACTGAAACAAAAATTCCCTCATTACCGGGGTATGAGACAGAAATCCATATCACCACTCTCTTGCAAGCAAGTGAGAATGTAACTGAGGTGATGGACTTAGTGACAATTTCTAACACGTTTCAAACGATTAGGATCCCAAAGGTGTTTAGCATTTTGGCAATTCAATGTGTGGGGCAATGGGTTGTGTTTCTTGTTCAGAGCAATGCAATGCGAGTGATTGTGTATGACACGAAAACGAAGGAAACGTTTGAAAGCAGAGAGGGGAAAAACGTGGCTTTGATTCAAAATGTTATTCCCGAATATGTCATTGACGGAAATGTGTATTTCATGATTAAAGGAAAGACATTCCCCGAAGTCGTCGTTTCAATGATGTTGAGTGGGTTTAACGAATTGGCAAATAACGTTTTGCAGTATAACGGAAAGGAAGACGACGTCAGTTTTATTCGAATGGAGTTGGCAATTCAAGAAGGAAGGGCCGACGCGTTGAAAGAAGTTATTGACTCCCTGAAGACTGAAGAATATATTCCCGCCTTAAAGGTGTTACAACAATTTCTTGCCTCCGTTTCGAGGAAAGAAAGAACGCTGTTTGTGAATGGGCGTTTTGCAAAGCAGTTTCAACTCTTATTTCAAAAGACGTTGCACGCACTTGGGAGGAAGGAGGTTATTACGTTTGAAGAACAGTACGACGATTGTGTCGATTTGCGTAAAGAAATTGAACGACTTGAAAAGATCAGAGAGAAAAAGGAATATATCGACAGGATTGAACAGACAAGACAGAAATACAAAGTTTTCGACCAGTTCACTGAAGAGTCAAGAAAGGAAATTCACGCGACACTTGAGTTGGTGTCAGTTGGTGGGTTGAGCAACAAAATCAATTACATGAACGAAAAAGACAAACTGAGTTTTGGGAACATTAGAGATTTTAAGGAAGACGAGTTGAAAGAAATGGTATGGAAATACGTCTACTTTTATTGTAAAAACAAACAAATGAACGAAGCGTATAAATTACTGATGAAAACCGGAATTGCAGACGTCATCGAAGTCATGAAAGTGTTGTGCACGAAAAGCGTCGATGTTGAGATGCGAAGAAACTTATACGAATTATTGGAACCGAGTGACATTGTCAATTTAATGAAAAAAATAGACAACTGTCCAGAAAGGCCTGAAAGGCATTTCCAGCTCATTTTGAACGACCCCGACTATTCTTATTTACACTCCGACTTGACGCAACAAAACGCGGAGAAGTATGGTATTCGTCTTGGGTTTTCGACAAAATATGACAATGGAGAAATTTATATTGGAACGGCAAAACAGATGCAAATTTCTTTGGAAATGATGAAATTGCTGGAACCAGTGGAACAAGACTTCATTTGTCTTGAGTTGGGACAGAAAATCAACAGTGGAAATGACTGGAATTATTTTTTGTTCTATGCTGCTCATGGAAAAGTGAAAGAAGGAGTTGAGTGGATGAATGAACACAAAGACATGAATTCCACTGAAATTGCGAAAGTCAGAAAGATCAGTAGAAACTCTACAATGGAATTTAGTTCGGTTATTTCTCATATCATTGACAAAGAGGTCAAAGAATCGTTTTTGGGTATTGACTTGATGAGAGATAATTTGTACACCCCCTATTTTGATGTTTTCTACAAGAATAAAACAGCAAAGTGCCCATTCCATTGGATGGATGTGTATAAATGCATCGACGATGTTGATTTGGCATTATTGGTGAACACATTTGAGTATCACGTGTTCCCAATTCAAGAATTTGACAAAACAAAATTGCTCAATTCTCTTCCAAAGCAATTTCCATCGAAAAAACTTCTTGTCGAACTCTTCACCAATTTGTCGGATCAAAAGCCGGTTGGGATCGAAAAGACAGAGGAAATCAATTACAAAACAAGGCTTGGAGATTGCAGACTGTTTGAATTGTATGAATTTGTTCTCTCAAAAAAGCACTTTGTTGGCAATAACAGACTTCTTCCTTACATTCCTCGAATGGACACGATGTTCTACACGTTAAACACAAAGTACTATGTTGAGAATGGACAGGCAGTGCATTGTATGATGACAAACACAACGAAAGAAGAGATTGAAAAGATAGGCCGAGAGTGCACACAAACAGACCAACTGTCCACAATTTGTTTTATGTCGAATTTCTTCAAAAATCCAACAATGAAACTCGAAGTTCTTCTTCACGAACTTTTGAAAGATAAAATTGACGAAATTAAAAAGAACCCGATCATGCATAATTACGTCTGTGACGACGCTTTGTGCTTCAAAATGGCACGCTTTGAATTTAAGGCACAAGAGTTTATCATCAACTCCCTTTGTGACAGAATCAAAGAGAGCCCAAAATTTGATGTGACATGGAATTTGTTACCATTTTTGTGCTCACGATGGCAAATGCCCATTCCATCAGTTCCATTCGAGAAGTTGGCGGCTGCTGGTAATATGTTGGGGATGATCGAGTTTTCTGATCATCATCGTGTCAGCAAAGAAGAGCTTTTGAGCTACAAATGGGGCGATAACACGATATCGGTTCACGGGAAGCATTTCATTGAAGTAATAAATGATGCCAAAGAGAGAGGCATCAGCGAATTTTTGCAACTTTCTGTTCCATCGACAAATTTCCTCAATTTTGTCTTTATGCCGGTTTGTTTGCAATCGTTGGTGTACACTCTCGAGAGTTTGTTAAACATTGCACACAAGAAGGATGCCCCATTTGAGCGAATACGAACCATTTTGCTGGATACTTGTGTTGAGTCTGTTGAAACCCTTTACTTTGTTTACAAATTGTTTGACTCAAAAAGTCCGTTATTTGAATTCCTCCAAATTCTTGTTGATGTACAAAACGGGTTTGAGCCAAGTACAAAGAACTTGATTGCCACAATCAAAGACAAAACACACAAGTATGGAACACAACCATGGGCTCTTATGACCATCGAAATGATGATGGATAAAATGATTGAGTACTATGAAACGAATTCGCCGTATCGGATGGAACTAATTTTCAACGCAGCAAGTGAGTTAACTTTGGTCGAAGAAATTAAACAACGGATTGGGCAATACGAAGCCACCAAACACATTTCATTTGCGTATTCCCTCAATTTGCTTGTATCGACTCCTTCGAAACAGTTGGTACAACTGTTGTGCCAGAAGAAATTGTTTGAACAAGCGTACGACTTTGTGAAACAATTTGATATGGGGATGTTCTCCTATGTCGTTTTTTGTGAGGCAGACCTGTTGAACAAAGACTGGGACAAAATTGATGCGCTGTTTGTGTCGAAGAAAGTTGTTGCAAACGATGTTGTTGATTACTATGGAACGAAGTACAACGAACTTGTCAAAGAGAAGTGCGTTGATGGCAACAACCGAGTGTTCAGCAAAAAGGTGAAAATTGTACTCCAACACAAAATGGATTGGTTAAGACAGTCAAAAGCGACTCTACAAGACGAAGATGAACTCAAACGACTCATTGCAATTTTCGACCAATGTGAGAAAGAAAATGTCCCACCAGAATCAATTTTGACACCAACGGAAGATATTTTGATTGACATCATTAACATGGGCAACATCACAATTTCAAGGAAAATATCGGAGACCATCCAAATTGAAGAAGCAACACAATTTGAGGAAGTTGTCAAGTTTGTTGGCAAGAATGAATCGTATGAAATACCTCTTGCGGATGGGTTGGCTCATTTAAGTGAATTCCAAACAAAAATGCCGAGAATAGCGAAGGGAATTGAGCTGTTCAAAATTCGATACATGATGATTTACAAGTATTCTGAAGACAAAATGGTGTATTTCCCGATGATCGACTCGACGTTCATGTTTTTCGAGAATCGAACGATGTTGGTTGACGAAGCAGTTTCAATCAGAGTTTTATCAAAGTTCTCGATGCGATTGAAAGACTGGGAAGCTGTTTTTGATGATGCGCGAACGTACATTAGGAGCGAGAAGATCCCAGACGAGGAAGTTCTTCCAATTTTGTCGTCGCGGTTTGTTGACATAGGTACGGGTGTTCAGCCAGTTGTGTTAACTGGTTGGCAGATATCCACGTTAAAGAAATTTGTCAGCATCATACAGGAGCCGGAAAAACTTGTTGAATCGTTGATGAATGCGATTGACGACAACAACATTAAATTGGTGAACGAAGTTATTCAGTGCTCGTATTGTGCTTCCAACATTTCGAATTCGTCGAAGATGATCAACAGAATGCTGACGTTTTTCAATGAACACGTGAAGAAAATGCAACAGTCACAAAATCTTCCGTATTTAATCGATTTGATAGTGAAAACCAATACATTTGAAGACTTTGTCATTCCAACAACAAACGGACCAAAGTCTGCGATATGGTTATATCTAAGACTGATATTTGAGGAGAACAAAGACTACAAAAAACTGATGGTCAAAACACATGAAGACGACACGTTCTTATTCCAGATGCACTTCAATATGGATTTGCAAATTTGTTTTGATACAATGGAAGAAGCAGTAACCTATTGCCACTTGGACAACATGTGTTCTGATATGTTTGGATATTTGGGGGATTTCCAGTCGGGCGGAGAGTACTTCTGGAAGAAAGGGGAGTCTGCGTTGTTGAGCATTTCTTCGAAGCTCCAGACGGGATTTTTCAAGAACCCATCGGAGGGTGTTGTGTATCTACTTACAGCCGCGAGATACTATAACGATGCATTGTCATTTTTCACAATGGACCAAGACTCTTTGTGGGCTAACAGATGTTACCTCAAGTCTGTGTTGGCGCTCACACAGATTGTTTATGACAACGTCCAACTCATTGGCTTGGGAACGTCCGAAGCCAAAAAGCAGATGTTATACTTCAGACTGTTTGATGATGCTTGGCTCTTTGCAAAGGTGTATAATATTGGTGAGGAAGCGAAAGATTGGGCGCAAGCGTTGGGTGTACAGTGCATTTTCAACAACAACATAGAATATTTCAATGAGTGGTCACAGACATACAAGATGGACATGGCTTGTTTGGATAATATGAAAACGTACGTCGTTGAGAACTCGACATTCATGAGAAAGAAGGAATTGATGTTGAACTACGACAACTTCAAAGAGCTTTGTTTCAAGACTTGGATTGATCTTGAAATGCATACAGACAAATTTGTAAAAAATTGTTACATCAGTCCAGCAGTCAAGAAGCGGATTTTCAACACCAAGTTGAACTTTACTTTCTAGTGCCTTTTAAACGTAAAATATGGCTTTGTGAAATTATGGTACATGCACAATATAATAATAGTTTGCGTATTCAACAGATGGTAGTTTGAATTACTTTTATAGTACTTAGATACTAAATTATAATAATAAAAGTGTTAGCAGATATAGAACAGTCTATCGCTTAAAAAATAAAAATGGAACTCGAATTAGTCACAGAAAGATGGCTGATTCAGATGCTCTGAAAGTTTGCCTTGTTGGCAATACGTCTGTTGGAAAGACTTGTATCGTTAACAGACTTGTCAAAGGAGTGTTCAACAACAGCGAGAAGCCGACTATCGGTTCAAACTTTGTAACCACTTGTATCACCGTCGATGGAAAACCTTTCAGACTTGCCATTTGGGTTTGTTTTCTTTTTTTCATTCGGTTGATCAAGTGACTCAATATGACTAACACACAGGACACAGTTTGTTGGACATTTTCTATTTGTTTAATTCTTTTTATTATTAACCACCCGTTGATAGTTTATGAACCAATATAAGAAACTGTATTGAATGTTATAGTACTGAAAATTTAGGCTGGACAAGAGAAATACCGTTCAATGGTATCAATGTATTATAGAGGGAGTGTGGGCGCCCTCATTGTTTACGACGTAACTCAAACCCAGAGTTTCCAAGATGTTAAGATGTGGTATGACGAGCTGACTAATACCGAAAAAGAAGTCCAAGTCATTATTGTGGGGAACAAATGCGATTTGCCAGAAAGATCTGTCTCCACGGAAGACGGACAAAGAATTGCTTCGGACTTGCATTGTCTTTTTTGTGAAGTGTCGGCCTTGACTGGTCAGTGTTTGTTTCTTCAGAGTCGGGAGATATGGTTTTATCTAAAATTATAATATACAAATATAGTTAAATTATAATAACTATTAGCAATTAATGAATGCTTTGTGAAACTTGCCAAAAACATAAAAGTCCCAGACGCAGGCCCACAATACGGGATCAACCCAGCACAACCTGCTAAACAGCAGCAAGACGGGTGCTGCTAAACCACTGTTTTTGTTCGCTTTCTTTTTTACGAACTATACTTTTAGTTAAATTATAATAAAATCGATTATAGATGAAACAAAAGATACATCCCGACATTTTGGAGTATTTGAAGAGAATGAAAGAATAATTAATAAAAGTATAATTAATAAAAAGAAATAAATCAATAATAGAAAGAGCAGATAGAGAACCCTAGAACTGAATAGAGTGAACGGACACAAATGGCTCCAAGAATCACATACATCCGTAAACACTCGTACAACACAAGATCGAACAGAATTCACATCGTGAAAACAGCTGGGAGCAAGATGACCGTTCAGCACGTCATGAAGAGAGCGTCTGGTCCACACTGCAGCGAATGTGGCGCCGAGCTCCAAGGGATTGATCACGTCAGATCTCACATGTACAGATGGATGCCACATTTCAAGAGATCCGTTACAAGAGCTTATGGTGGAAACAAATGCGCTAAGTGCGTTCAAAAAGCCATTTTGAGATCTTTCCTTATCTCAGAACACAACCTCTTCAAGGCCGCTGCTCTTAAGGATATGAAGGAAAAAGCTTTGAAAGCAAAGGAAGACAAGAAGAAATCTTCAAAGGTTGCCAAAAAGAATTAAATGACCGTGTTGAGCTGTGTTTTTTGAACCTTTTTCAAACCCTTCTTCATTTTTCTTTACCAACAAACTTTTCAAATTTAAGAAGTCTTCTTTTCTTCCTAGAAAATTTGATAATGCAAATATTATAAAATTTTGTATAAATGAAACGATGAATTATAAATGTCTCATTTACTTCTTAGCTGGTTCTTGGGTTTTTTGAGGAGCTTTGACATCCTTGACATCTTTCTTAGCGGGAGCGGTTTGGGCTGCAGCCTTGACAGCCTTCTTTTCGAAGGACTTAGAGAGTTTTTTCATCGATTTTCTGAGTGGTTTTTTGATTGCTTTTTTTGCTTCTTTTGATGCTTCTTTACGAGATTTGACGATAGCAAGGTATTTGTGTTCGAGTCTTCTGATGAGACCATCGATAGCTGATCTGCATTCAGTTTTGATGTCTTTTGATTCTACGCCATCAGCTGTTGCTTCTTCGAGTCTCTTGACGATTTTCTTGTAGTATTTGTTGTATGCGTGTTTTGCTGCTTTTTTGAATTTGTGTTGTGACTTCAAAATGTCACCACCTTTCTTGTCAACACCACGTGCTGCTTCTTCTGCTGCAATTTCTGATGCCATCTTTGCATATTTATGGGCATATGCACCAATTACTTTCAGTAATTTCTCTTGATTAACATCTACTTCTCTATCAAGATGAAGTGTATTTTCAAGTCCAATTCGTTTCTCAATTCTTGCTTTTCTAACAAATCTATCTCTTTCTGGTGAAGCTACCTTATCTGCCATTCTTCTCATGCGTCGTAACACAGCTCTCTTTTGTTCTCTCAATTGTCCTAACAATTTCTGAAGCTTCCCAACTTTTTGCTCAAGTGTAAATCTGTCTTTCATCGATACTGCTATCTTCATATCTCTGTACATTATATCTAACATATTCAACATCTTTCTCTCTTTACTCTCTAACTGAAGAAGTTGCTTCTCATTTCTCTTGTTCGCTAACTTGATCTTTTTAAAACGCTTCAACATCGTTGATGTATGGATGTATGGGTTGAACAAGTCATCATCAGCCCGGACTAACAGTAACACTAGTGCTATCACTATCACTTTCATGCCGTTGTATAAAATGCTTTTGAAGTTCCCTTTTAAAGTTTTTCTTTGATTTTTATTATGTTCAGTTTTGCATTGAATTTACTTATATTTTCAGGATAATCAATTAATATTGTTTTTACTTTTTTAATTTCTGTTTTTTTTAATTATTTTTGTGTTATTTATGATAGTTATTAATATATACAATACATTATAATAAAAATTTAAATTTTTAATTGTTTTTTTCGATGATATCTATTTTCGCCCCAAAGTGAATTTTTATTATAGTTTTCTTATAACAACAGAGGATCAATATTAACGAAAGAATTTTAAAAAATTTGTTTTTTTTTACTTAGAATTCCTTTTTATCCACAAATCTCAAATCTGTTTCAAAAAAACTGCAAAAACTTTCAATCAAAAAGCTGGAGAGACAAAGTCATCATACTGTGATGATGTAAATTCACCTTTTTTACTGTTGTAGTCATAGTAATACAATTTCAGCTCTTCGTCTATTTGCGATGGGATGATCCCTTTGAAAGGAAATCTGCACGACACGGCTCTTCTACTATGGTCTTCTTCAAGGTAATTAAACAACTTTTCTTTCAGCCCCTTGAGTACTTTTGGAACCAAATAAAAGCTTATGCAATTACACCCATAGAACGAGAAATCCTCTTTGAGGAAGTTGTCAACATAAAAGTGTGCCAAAGTCTCTACACCTTTCTCCTTTGCTTCCAAGTTACATTGTTTCACCAAATCTTCACAAATATCGATACCAACTCCCTCACATTTTACTTGACTAATAGCTTCAAATACAAATCTGCCATCCCCACACCCAACATCTATTATTTTGTCGCTTTGAGTCACGTTCAACAATTTGACAACCCCACGTACCGTACTTGGTGTTGAAGTGACAAAAGGAACTATTTGATCTTTCACTGCATCGGGCTCATTCGCAAACGGCATCCAGTCATCTTCCGCCATAGTTGTATGCTTTTTCTTTTTTATAAACAATTAAAACTCTATCCCGTCCACTTGCGATAATTTCATTATTTACTTTAATAATCAAAATTGTCAATATTTTCATCACATTTAAACCCTTTTTTTAATAAAATAAAAGTATAGTTTTGATTAAAAACTTTTAATAAACTTAATTGTTATTTGAAATTGTATTTAAATAGACTATAGTTCAAAAAACTATATATGTTGGTTTTGATAAAATAGTATAGTTTGTAATAAAACAATTTAATAAAAATAGCTATATAAATTTTTTATTTTTATTTAAAAATATTATTAATTTAATTATATATTATATTAATAATATAATTATAATTAATTATATTTATATCTACAAATAATACAATTAACAATAACAAATGATAAAAATCAAAGAAAAACTTTAAAAGGGAACTTCAAAAGCATTTTATACAACGGCATGAAAGTGATAGTGATAGCACTAGTGTTACTGTTAGTCCGGGCTGATGATGACTTGTTCAACCCATACATCCATACATCAACGATGTTGAAGCGTTTTAAAAAGATCAAGTTAGCGAACAAGAGAAATGAGAAGCAACTTCTTCAGTTAGAGAGTAAAGAGAGAAAGATGTTGAATATGTTAGATATAATGTACAGAGATATGAAGATAGCAGTATCGATGAAAGACAGATTTACACTTGAGCAAAAAGTTGGGAAGCTTCAGAAATTGTTAGGACAATTGAGAGAACAAAAGAGAGCTGTGTTACGACGCATGAGAAGAATGGCAGATAAGGTAGCTTCACCAGAAAGAGATAGATTTGTTAGAAAAGCAAGAATTGAGAAACGAATTGGACTTGAAAATACACTTCATCTTGATAGAGAAGTAGATGTTAATCAAGAGAAATTACTGAAAGTAATTGGTGCATATGCCCATAAATATGCAAAGATGGCATCAGAAATTGCAGCAGAAGAAGCAGCACGTGGTGTTGACAAGAAAGGTGGTGACATTTTGAAGTCACAACACAAATTCAAAAAAGCAGCAAAACACGCATACAACAAATACTACAAGAAAATCGTCAAGAGACTCGAAGAAGCAACAGCTGATGGCGTAGAAACAAAAGACATTAAGATGGAGTGCAGATCAGCTATCGATGGCCTCATCAGAAGACTCGAACACAAATACCTTGCTATCGTCAAATCTCGTAAAGAAGCATCAAAAGAAGCAAAAAAAGCAATCAAAAAACCACTCAGAAAATCGATGAAAAAACTCTCTAAGTCCTTCGAAAAGAAGGCTGTCAAGGCTGCAGCCCAAACCGCTCCCGCTAAGAAAGATGTCAAGGATGTCGCTAAGAAGTAATTCATTTCTTATTTTTGTTAAACTTAATTTAGTATGATAAATTTACATAATACAATAATTACAGTACTTGCTCAAAGTTTTCAAAATATGACAAATGGTGTAGAAGTCTGGCGAATAGAATTATATTTTATATTACAGTGTGTGAGAAAAGTATGTGAGAATGGGAAAACCCGTGTCTTCAATAAAAGTCACATATTTGTTTTTATTTTTCAACAAAATTGTTTTTTTTTAAAAATAATCTAAATAACATAATTATGAGCTCCAGGAATGTTGTTTTTAGTGGCTTGGACTATATAACAATGGAACAAAATCTAAAGTAATGTACAGGCCCAGTGAAAGAAATAGCCCAAAGAACGTTCAGCAAGCATTTCAACTTTTATGAATTTTCCTGAATGTTCAGGTGTATTTGATAAACATTGAGAGAGAAATGTTCAATGGAGTGAATACGGAAAAGGTGACCAAGAGAAAACTGTGTAGAGTCTTTGCTTTATCTTCAAGTCAGTTTAATATCAACAAACGAAGACGTATGGAGACTGTATTGTTTTGGAAAAAAAGATAACGGAAGACCGTCATTTCCAACTGAAGTACAGTGGAAAACTGTTAAGAATTTGATTCTTGATAATATAAAAAGTTATTAGAAAAATGCAAAGCTATCAGTATAACTTATTTGAGGTTGTTTATAATAAAAACCTTCAAAGTTGATGTGTCGAATCATGTTATTTATGATAAAATACATAAAAGTTGGCACTTCTTGATTGTGACTGTGTTTGCTGAAGACCAATCTTGATTGACCTACAACGAAGACGCCGTGTTGAAGTATTACATTGCGCTGCCACTTTTTTAAATGGCATCCCATCACAATTCATTTTGATTCTGGATGAGTCAGGGTATCAGCCATGTCCAGACAGGCAAATGGTGAAGTGGGTATTCACTGTAGGTTTTGTAACAGACAGTAAAATAAAATATGGAGTCGAACTTGACATTGCTCAATCCAATGTTGTGTGCACTATAACCCCCCTCAAACCCCTTTCCCGTATGATTGTAACAAAATACAAAAGAGTTATGGTTGAATTCTGAAATTGGGTTGGACGGAAACAGGAAACATCGTCAATTATAGCAAAAATGGATTTTTTAATTGTGACTTATTTATATAATACATTAGCGAATTTATTGTACCATACATTGTCGACTTGAGATTCAAGACTGGTTATATTGATAAAGCAGTGCTGATATTTTATGAGTGCACATGCTGCTCAATATAAGATGTGAGGTTGCTGCTCAAGTTAAATATCCAAATCAACTAGAAAATCATCAACATGAACTGTGAAATCGTATGTTTGGTGCCTCACACCTCACGTGTAACACAACGATTAGATGTTGGGTGTTTTCAGCTCAAAAAAAAAGAAGACTGAATTTGTTGTATGCGAAGTTCAGAAAAGTTATAAAAATTAAAGATAGAGTTGGCAAGGAAGAAACAACAACGACAGAAAGTGAAGACGTTGAAGAAAAAGAAGAATCAAATGATGTGATTGGAAGCCAAGATCACATTGAAGAATCAAGAATACATCAACAATTAAAGAAAATGTTACAAGGAGTGTTGGCAAATCCACAAGAGGCTATGTCACCATTTAAAAAAAGGTTGTTACTACTATCAACAAAAGGGTGGTGGATGACAACCAACCATAAGATCACAATGAAATACCAAATGTAACTAAATCTGTTGAATTTGGTGATAAAGGGGAGTTGGAAAAAGTTTGTAAAATACCTAAACTTAATTATGAAATCTTATTTACAAACAACTACTACGGATGTGTGTACTCAGGCTTTTAGGCAAGTTGGTATTGATTTCAGAGTTGTCGATGGTGGTATGAGGGTTGCGTATGTGGATATTGGAGTGTCACGCAGAGTCACAGCAGAAATACCGAGACTGTTAAGTATAACACAGTTATACTAGATTGAATGCGTCAAAACCAAAAAAAACGAAAATATCTGCAGTTCGAAAGGTTCCAAGGTGTTTTGAGAGTTGTTTATGTCAGTGTGTTAGCAAGCCGTTCAAAAGGAAAAATTGGAATGTTAAACTTAAAATTGTGAAGAAAAAATAGACCAAAAAATCTCAAAAAACTCAAAATGGGGTTTAAAATTTAATCGATTGATTTTTATCCTTTTAATATGTAGTATTGCCGAGTCTACATTATTGTTTTCTATCACGGGGTCAAAATGGTCATTGATTGGATCAATACATTTTTTGAACTGTCATAAGTCCTTACATACTGTATAGAGTAAATGGAAAAAAAGTCGGCTCGATAAGAATAACTATATTTTATTATAAACAACCATTTATTATTAGTTTCTATTTTATTTTATTTTTTGTTTTTGGAGTTTTAATTAATGTTTTTGAAATACATATACAGGAAAAACCAGGGACCAGACTAAATTAAGCTGTTTTATTTTTGGTATAAAGTTTCCTTGTCAGAGAAAAATACCCAAATAATCGGGGTTTTTGAGGATATGTTGGTTTTTTTCAAAAAACAGAGACCAAGTATTAATAAACACACTGTTTTTTAAATAAAATCGAAAAAACTATAAAAAATGAAACTCTTAATTAATCATTCAGAGTTGTCTCATTTGTTAATGCCCAGCCGAGCCTAAGTATTGTTTGTTCTTTATATTGATTTATCTCTTATTGTTGAATACGTTTAATAATCATCGATCAATTACTGAATGTCTAACATTCCAATAATTTATTTATTCTTTACTTTATTTTGTAAACTACATGAGTCACTTTTAATGCTGAACGAAAAGTAACTTATCAAATCAACCGAATGAATAGATAATACTACAACATTTTCTTTGAAAAAAATGAATGAACAATTTAATTGAATGGTTGTGTTGAAGTTAAACAAGGTTGAACAAAAGAATATTATTTTATAATTAAATAATAATTAATAATAATAAACTTACTACAGTAAGACCTCGATTATTTCCAATTTTTTTATTTTAAAAACCTTGACACTTTCCAAATTGAAAATTTTGAGTTTTGTCATGAATTGTAATATTATATTAAAAATTTGTAATTTTAAATATTTTCGGCAAAAAACCAATTTATGTAAACCAAATTTAATTAAAATCTGTCAGATCATTGAAAAAACCGACAATTTTTGAAATCAAATATGTGTTATTTTTTGGCGATTTTTCAATTGATTGCAAAAAGTGAAGTATTTGTGTAAGTTCACAAGTATTCGACAATTCTCCTGTTGTTATATTAACACTTTCTCCAAATGTAATTTTTTCATCATCCCATTCAATTATCTTTTCAAGATTGATTGTTTTATCAATAACACCTTTATCTTTTAAATAATCAACAGAGTTTTGAAGCAATTGTTCACAATCATCTACAACTATTGGCGGAATGACGATTTCTTGTCTTGTTACAGGCAAATCAATCAAATTCGGATTATCACCAAAATTTGGTACAAACAATTTGCTTTTGATCCAACAATTAAAAATTGTCGAAGGAGATACATCTTTCCATGCATTTTCGATAAAAGGGAAACTATCAACTATCCCCATCTTGAAAATTCCTTTCAAAGTCTTCTCGTTTTTCTTATTTTCAATTTCAAGATTGTTGTATTTGTCCACTAAATCACGCAAA